TTCGTAATCCACTATGCTACTAGCACCCATTCAGTCTACCTTAGTTACAGACTTACAAAGGGCTAATAGTGGAAAAACCTTAGTGACTGAAATATGGGAGTCGGGACATGAACTAAGACTTGATATATACCTATCTTAACTGCAACATTATATACAGGCTCTAGCCTCCTTAAGAATTCCTGGTGTGGCGCTGTGGGATAAAGCACTGGGCAGCAAGGTCAATTTGAACCACAAGGTAGAAAGTTGAAACTCACCAGGCACTCCTCAGAAGCCCTATACAGGATCGCTTTGAGTCAGAACTGACTCGAGGGCACTTAACAACAAGAACCATCTTATTAAACACTTATCTGTTCTGTCTCCTATCCTCCTGCTGACCTAGGTGCCTTCCCTGGGGCCAGCTGCACAGAATACAACAGGCAGCAAGCAATTCTTTATCCAGATTAGAAGTCTTGATCTGTGCCCTTTCTTTGGTTTTTAAGCACTAAAACTGTGACAAAAAGAGTGGAGTACTTCTTTGTTGTTGTTATTGTTGCTGTTCGGTGCCACCGAGTTGGTTCCAATTCAGCGACCTTATACACAACAGGACAAAACACTGGCCAGTCCTACACCAGCCTCATAACAATACCAGTTGTTATGCTCAAGCCCATTGCTGCTGCCACTGAGCCAACCCGTTTCGTTGGGAGTCTTCCTACTTTTTGCTGACCTTCCACTTTACCAAGCATGATGTCCTTCTCCAGGGACTGGTCCCTCCTGATAATATGTCCAAAGTATGAGAGACAAAATCTCACCATCTAGCTTCTAAGGAGCATTCTGGCTGTATTCTACCAACACATTTGTGTGCTCTTCTTCTCCAACACCATAACTCAAATGCATCAATTTACAATTATCCTAACTCACTGTCCAACTTCCGTATGAAGCTATTGAAAATACCATGGCTTGAATCAGGTGCACCTTAGTCCTAAAACTGACATCTTTGCTTTTGAACACTTTAAAGAGGTCTTGTGAAGCAGATTTGCCGAATGCAATACATCATTTGATTTCTTGACTGCTGCTTCCATGAGTGTTGATAGTTGATCCAAGAAGAATGACGTCTTCAATAGCTTCAATCTTTTCTCCATTTATCATAATGTTTATTGGTCCAGTGTTGAGAATTTTTGTTTTCTTTACATTGAAGTGCAACCCATACAAAAGGCTGTGGTCTTTGATCTTCATCAGTAAATGTTTCAAGTCCTCTTCACTTTCAGCAAGCAAGGTTGTATCATCTGCATATTGCAGGTTGTTAATGATTCTTCCTCCAGTCCTGGTGCCACCTTTTTCTTCATATAATCCAGTTTCTCAGATTAATTGCTCAGATTGAATACGTATGGTGAAAGAATACAACGCTGTCACACAACTTTCCTGATTTTAAAGCATTCAGTGTTCCTTTGTTCTGTTCAAATGACTGCCTCTTGGTCTATTTACAGGTTCCTCATGAGCACAATTACTTAATACCAGAATACTCATGTTCTGCAATGTTGTCCAAAGCTTGTTGTGATCCATGCAGTTGAGGGTCTTTGTATAGTCAATAAAGCACAGGTAAACATCTTTCTGGTATTCTCTGCTTTCAGCCAAGATCCATCTGATGTCAGCAATGATATTCCTCATTCCACATCCTCATTTGTATCTGGCTTGAACCTTTGGCAGTTCCCTGTCAATATTGCATGCACTTTTTCATTATTTTTCACAAAACTGTACTTGTATGTGATATTAGTGCTATTGTCCAATGATTTGCACATTCCATTTGGTCACCTTGCTTTGGAATGGGCACAAATATGGATCTCTTCCAAATTTCTTGGCATAGATGCATGAATGTTTTCAGTGCTTTATTGGTTTGCTGAAATATTTCAATTTGTATATTCCATCAATTCCAGAGCCTTGTTTTGGCATTCATGGGCTTGTTTTAATTTTCCTCAACTTCAGACTGAACTTACATATGAGCAATTAATTAATGGTCTCTTCCACAGTGTGCCTTGTTTTGACTAATGATATTGAGTGTTTCCACTCTCTCTTTCCACTGATCCAGTCAATTTGATATCTGTGTATTCTATTTGGTGAGGTCCATGTTGTTTTAAAAAACGTATTTGCAATGAATAAGTCATTAGTCTTGCAAGATTCTATCATGTGATTTCCAGCATCATTTCTATCACCAAGATTATATTTTTCATTCCAATCACTAGTAACTATCAATATATCTCGATTGCATGTTTTTATCAATTTCAAACTGAAGAATTTGGTAGAATTCTTCCATTTCATCATCACTGACTTGTGTGTTTGGTGCTTGCATTTGAATAATAGTGCTATTAACTGGTCTTCCTTGTAGGCATATGGATATTATCCTATCACAGACAACATAGGCTAGATCTTGAAATGTTCTTTTTGATCTTGAGTGTGACACCATTCTTTTTCGGTTTGTCATTGACAGCATAGTAAACCTTGTGATTGTCAGATTGAAAATGGTCAATACCAGTTCATTTCAGCTCACCAGTGCCTAGGATATCAATGTGTATGTGTTCTGTTTCATTTTTGGCAACTTTAAATTTCCTAGATTCAACATTCTATGTCCTGTTTATTAATAGATATTTTCAGCTGTTTCTTCTCATTTTGAGTTGTGCTCCATCAGCAAATCAAGGTCCTGAAAGCTTTACTCCATTTGCATCATCACGATCAAGTCAACTTTGAGGATGCAGCTCTGACCCAGTCGTATTTTGAGTGCCTTCCAACCTAAGGGGCTTATGTTCTGGCACTATATCTGACAATATTCTGGTGCTCTTCCTTATGTTCCAATATTCCGTATACGGACTATTTAGTCGTTCTTTCCAGCCTCATAGGCCACTCCATCTGGCCCCAGTTGAGCTGAGGACTGTGCCCCCAGATACCATCCTAACCCTGGGCTGAGTAGCCCTGACCTATCCACTGATTTCTGCCTTGTGAGAGTCTCTGCTGGGCCAGTGCTCCCACACTCCAGCCTTTTCTGCACAGGACATAGGTACAAACCAAACCCAGTGCCACTGAATTGATTCCAACTCAAATTGACTCCATGGGGTTCTCACTGCTGTAAATCCTTAGAAATAGACTGTCACATCTTTCTCCTTGGGAGTGGCTTGTGGTTTTGAACTGCTGACTTGCTTGGTTAGCAGCCGAGCACTTTCATCACTGTGAACATCAAGCAAATTAGTCAGAAATCCCATGTGTCCCACTGCTATTCATAAGGTTTCCAGTGGCTAAATATTCAAAAGTAGTCTTCCTCTCCTTCCTAGTCTCCTCATCTGGAAGCTCAGCTGAAACCTGTCTACCATGGGTGACCTTTCTGCTGTTTAAAATACCAGTGGCATAGCTTCCAGCATCACAGCAACACACAAGCCATCATAGTATAAGAAGCTGACAGACGGGTGGTGAATTGTTACTTTAGAAAAGCAAAAATTTAAATCTTAATTTAATTAAAAAAGGAATTTTCCATTTGGGTCTGAAATCTCTCAGTTCAGATATGCCGGTAATCTTGACTTTTGGTTTAAATGGCAAGGGCTGTGTTATATATGTATTTTTTTATCACAATTGAAAACTATTTTTACAAACTAAGGCTCAAAAACCAAATGAGTTTGGAAATCACCACATCTCCTTTCATCCTCTTAGATATTCACTGTCCAAATGAGAACAGTAGAGACTGAAATGTCCTTATTTCCTGTTTAATTGTTTGCTTTTCAAATTTATTTGCCAGCCTTGATAGGATGCCAGTGTTTCATGCATCTAAATTTACCAAAGGGTGTGTGTCTGAACCACTGGAATGCCTTGCTAACTCCTTGGGACAGGAGTTTATACAACTCACTGCTTAAACTGATTCATTTAATTTTTACATTATTATTATTTGTTGTTGTTGTTGCATGGACTGGTGGACAGTAGGTACATAGTAGACAAAAGCCATGTTGTTTACTTTTTTGCTTTTTACCATGGTTTGGGTAAAAGCTTACAGAGCAAATTGGTTTTGTGTTCAACAATTCATGCACATTTTGATGTATAACATTGATTTCCATCTCCACCATGTAACAGCACTGCTGCTTCCCCTTTTCTCCCTGTGTTTGCAGTTTCCTTTCAGCCTTCTTTTCTATCCCTTCCTGCCTCCTGAGCTTTATCCTAGTGCACATGCTGCCTTTGTCATCTCCTGTGGTTAGCTGGTCACCTCTTAGGCTTGTCTGTTGTTTGGCTAAAAGTTGAGCTATGGGAATGAGTTTGGCTCCAGGCTTGAAAGAGTTTCTTAGGACCATACCGTGGAAGTCCCACCAGTCTCATTCTGACCAGTAAATCTGATCTTTTTTATGATTTTGAGTTTTATTCCACATGTTTCTCCCTCTCTTTCCAGGACCTTCTATTGTGATCCCTTTCAAGGTGGTCAGCAATAGTAGCTGGGCACCATCTAGTTCTGGTGTCAAGGTTGTGGAGGCTGAGGTTCGAGTGACCCATTAGCCCTATGGACTTATTGTTTCTGTGTTTCTTTGGGTTTCTTCACTCTTCTTTGCTCTGGGCCAATACTTGCACCTTACATGGCCACCCACACGCTTTTTCAGACTCTAGTCAAAGAACCATGGTTTTATGGGACTTACTATGTAGTGCTGAAGACAGAAAGATAGGTGTACACAGGTCACAAGTAATATCTGCAGGTTAAGTATTACAAGAAAATAAAAGAGGTTGGCAGGGTATGATGGCACTGGTTCAGCCAAAGGGGATAATATTGAAACAGGGCCCTGTAGGTGCGATGAAAGGACCACTCAAAGAGCCACGGAAAACATTAGGGAAAGTGTTAGAGCTCGTGCTGAGACCTGAATAGGAACAAACTTTGAGTGTTAGACAAACAGAGGAAAGACAAGTGTTCTGGGGCCGAGACCAGATCATAAAAGGCATCCCTTTGACCAAAATGGGGATGATACCCAGAGAAGGATGATATAGATGTATGTTTCTCTTTCTTCTAGATACAATTCCCTGTGTAGACCAGCTGTCCTCAAAGGAGCCTCCTGGCCTCCTTGCTGGCCCACAGCTTCTGAACCATGCTGGCCTCAGTGACCCCCCCAGCAGGGTACTAGCCCCTTTGGTACCATCCTCCTTGCCCATGACTGACCCTCCTCAAGGCACAGTGGTACCAGCAGCCACCACCCTGCCAGAGCCAGCAATAGAGACTGCTACCCAGACAAGGAGTGCCGGAACCTCTCAGGAGCCAGGCAGAGAGTGTGAGCTACCCTCAACTCTCGTGGAGACTCTGGATAACCAGTGTGCTGCACAGCCCCTTGGCCTTGGCCAACATCTGGGAGAGTCAGCCTCAGCCTTGGAAGCCAGTGCTCAGGGGGAGCACCAGCCAACCCTGGTGTCTGAACCCAGCCCCCCTAGCCTGGCCACCTCCCAGCTCCCCAGTCCCCCATTAGGGCCCGCTGCTCCCACCCAGCCCCTTGCAGTCCTGGAGTCTGATGGAGAAGGGCCACCCCTCAGGGTGGGTTTTGTGGACAACACCATAAAGAGCCTGGATGAGAAACTACGTACCCTGCTCTACCAGGAGCACATCCCCACGTCCTCTGCCTCAGCGGGAACCCCAGTGGAGCTGGGTGACAGAGACTTCACCATGGAGACTCCATCATCAGCTCCAGCTGATGTGCCCCCAGGGCCTGCCCTGCTTCCCCAGCCTATGGTGAGTGGTACAGCCCCAGGCCTGCATTGCTGTCTCTGGTGGGTCTGGCCACCTGCACACATTTGCATCAAAGGCCAGTTGTAAGGCTATGTAGTCCGGGATGTGTATTCTACTCCTTGTGGTTAAGTCCCTAAAGGGGTAAGGGTCTGCAAAGTGGAAGCCAGCCTTCAGAGATAGGGAGAAGAAAAGCGTACACATTTTAGCACTGGTGATATTAACAAGTGAGACTCATTGTTTTCTTTTCCTGTTGCTTCCTGAAGTTGGAAAAGTCAGAAATGGTGGCTGGACAAGTTGGTGTGCTGGAGCAGTCTTCTCTAGTACCAGGTAATCAAAGCAAGATCCATGGTCTTGCCTGGGTAGGTTCACAGGGAGGCCGCCAGCCTTTACCGCAGCCCCTGTAGTGTGCAGCACCGCCTTCTTGAAAGGTGGCAGTAGTCAGCATGACTCTTAATTAGAACCCACTGAGTTCTAGAATAAACTGAAAGTTCACGCTAATGAATTAATTCCAGTGAATTAATAAGAGCCCTAAAAAAGCATTTGGTATGCTATCTGGTGCTGTGTCTTGGCCCTCCCAGACTTCCTAAAGAATGTGATTTCTAACCATTCCTTCCCCTGCACTTCCTTAGCAAGGCTTCAAAATACCAGGGTTCAGAGATATTTTAGAGACAGTGGGACTGAGGGTTCTAACATCTAGAAGAAGTTGCAGTGGGCTGCGGCCATCTGAGAGGATTCTAAAAGCAGGACTTCTGTTGGTTTTCATTTCATTATCTGAATACCCCATGTCTGCAACTTATAGGAACTGGTCCGATCTTTTAAGGTGTGGAGTTCCTTTTCAGGCTAGAGTTTCTTGGGAGATTGATAAGAGTTAGCATCCCAAGGGCGCCTATAGGCACACCTCGTTTGGTGTGCCTTAGCAGTGAGCTGCAGGTGCCTGGGGTTAGGCTGCACTCACAGAGCAAGAATCTGTCTGTTGCCTCCACATCCAGATGTTCCACTCGGAGAGGGCCTAGGGGATGCACCCAGAGCTGGTCCATACTTGAGAACCAGGAGCTGGTTTAACCTAAAGACATGAGTGTTTGGAGAACCAAAGCAGAAATGCCTTGAGAGGGTAAAAAGGAGAGACTGTCTGAGGGCCACTTTGAGCCTGCACTATGCTATGCTGGCCTTCCTGTGTAAGGAAAACAAGTGTCAGAGAGGTTTAGTAACTTGCAGATAAATGAGCCACTCCACAATACACACCTCAGAAGGTAGGCCTCAAACAGGCAGCACTAAGGAGATGGATTCTAGTTTGGAAATGTAAACCCTGCTGGTGGGCAGAACAGTCTAGAAATAGAAGGGTGCAGTTGGAAGAAAGGAATCAAGCATTGTCCATAGGTTTATTGTGGGGTACACTACAGAGACTGGACTGAGTCTCCCTGGGAATCTGGTTTGAGGCTAAAGTTCCCTCACAAGTCCCCAGTAGGATTGGTCCAGCAGGCTTGCCTCCAGCGGAGACTTCAGACAACCCTCCTAGTCTTCTAGGCAGCTCCATCCGTTGAGTTGAGCTGAGCTAAGGGCTGTGCCCCAGATTCCATCCTAACCCTGGACTGAGCAGCCCTGGCCTGTCCACTAGTTTCTGCCTTGTGAGGGTCTCAGCTGGGCCAGTGCTCCCACACTCCAGCTCTTTCTGCTTCTTGCTCATTCTGCGTTGGATCAAAGGTAAAAACCAAACCCATTACCAATGAATTGATTTCAACTCAAAGTGCCTCCATAGCTTCCCAAGACTGTACATCTTTCCAGACATAGACACCCATACCTTTCTCCCATCGAGTGGCTGGTGGTTTCAATCTGCTGACTTTTTGGTTAGTAGGCAAGCACTTTAAGTACTGTGGGCACTGAGCAAGCTAGTCAGAAATCCCATATCATATCCCCATATGCTGCAAATGGTTAATGCATTCAGCTGCTCAACAATAGGTTGGTGGTTTGAGACCACCCAAAGTCACCTCAGAAGAAAGACCTGACGATCTACTTCCAAAAACTCAGCCATTAAAAACCCTATGGTGCACAGTTCTACTGTAACAAACATGGAGTTGCTGTGAGCTGATTCATGGCCCCCACTCTCTAGATGAGAAAACAGAGGCAGCCACAAATTCTACAATGAGATCCTTCTCCAAAGGCCACAAGTCTGAGACATTGTGCGAGGCCATAGCCTCGCAGCCCTGCCCACCAGCATGCTGACATCCCATTCTGGTTGTCTCTGCCTTGTTTCCTGACATCCCTGAGTAATAATGTTCTTGGTCTTCATGTCTAGAGCCATCATCTCTCAGCAGCACTTTGGGCCCTGGTGGATGGGCAGTGACTGACCTAGCCACTGCAGTCAGCCCCCTGCAGGTAAGACACACTCTCGGCAGAGACCTGGGACTTGATCACTTGGGCTTGTTTTCCCCTAATGCTCACACTGAATCTTTTCCTTCCCAACTTGCTCCCAAGGATACTACAGCTTTGGTAGTCCCCACACATTTGGAATCCACAGGCTGGGCTGACGGGTCCCCCAGGGAGACCATAGCTGAGCCCATGCAGCACTCCACGGGGACACTGGATACAGAGGGTAAGGTTGGCCTCCCTCAGACACACAGCTCCCTGGACTCAGCCTCCCCAAGAAATCAACCAGGGCATCAGAACAGCAGCTCGCCAGCCAAAACTGTGGGCCGCTTTTCGGTGGTCAGCATGCAGGATGAGTGGACCCTGGCCTCACCCCACAGCCTACGCTACTCAGCCCCACCTGATGTCTACCTGGACATGCTGCCCACCAGTCCTGAGGTGAAGCTGGCAGTCCGGCGTGTGCAGACGGCCTCTTCCATTGAGGTCGGTGCCGGTGAACCTGTATCCAGTGACTCTGGAGAAGAGAGCCCACGGAGGAGGCCCCCGGTGCAGAAGCAGGCCTCCCTGCCCAGCAGCAGCAGTGTGGCCAGTGATTTTGTCAAGAAGGCCACTGCCTTCTTGCATCGGTCCTCAAGGACAGGATCACTGGGTCCAGACATGCCCAGCCGGTCCAGCATCAAGGTCCCCACCATCAGCATTACCTCCTTCCACTCCCAGTCATCCTACATCAGCAGCGACAATGACTCAGAGTTCGAGGATCCTGACATAAAGAAGGAGCTGCAGAGTCTGCGAGAGAAGTATGTGTAAGGGCAGGGCTGCAACCTGGCTGCGGATGTGGTTGGGGCGGCATGATGTCAGGGAGGTGTGGCATAGAGCCCAGCCCAAGCAAGTCCTTTCCAGTAAAGCTACAGGATGAGGGCTGCAGGGGCAGTCCCCAGGCTGATTTGGGAATTCCGTACTCAGAGTCCCCTTGAGCCTGGCTGGCTTCTCCTTTCCTTCTGCCTATCTCTCGGTGGGGCATCACTCTTGTCCTCACTACTCCTCCCTGCCAGACCTACTCCTTTCCTTTACTACCCTCTGCTGTAAAGTCTAAACAGTATCTCTGAGTGTTTACCTTCCACACATCATATCTTTATCCCTCCCTCACCATGGTTCAGGGGCTGGAAAGGTACAGACACCCCGGAGCTTTCTTTAGATGCAGGAGGCAATACTGAGGTATGGTGGGTTCTCAACTCACCAGTGAGAGAAGAGCCGGTATCCTTCAGAATAGAGTGATTTTGACTTGGGTGTCCTTTGAATGGGCTAAGAAATCGACACAAGTAGAAGGTACTAACTAGTTCCTACCTTGTCCTTTCTAGCATGTGGCTGGAATCAAACTTGCTCCCATGTATTGGCTGATTCTTTGAAGTAGATTGCCAGCCCTTTCTTTGTAGTTCATCTTAGTCCAGAAGTTCTGCTGAAATCTGTTCAGCATCCTAACAACACAAAAGCCTCCAGTGACAGACAGGTGGTGGTGGTGGCTGCACATGAGGTGCATTAGCCTAGAACCAAACCTGGGTCTCCTGTGTGGAAGCCAAGAATTCTGTTAGTGAGCCACTGCTGCTCTGTGGTCTCCCACTACTCCTCTAATATGGATGTCTAAGTGTTCCCACCTGTCCCAGTGCTGCCAAGCTTTAGACACCAAGGAAGACAAGAAGGGAAAGCTGGGCATGCATGTTGGCTGGTCTCAGAGATGCTCAGAAGGGCCTGGTGTGGTTGGGCAGGAGAATCTGTGGGACATCCATGATGAGCTGAGGTGAGAGTGCTACCAAGTGCTCTGAACACAGCTTCCTACTCTCCTGCTATGGCCTTCATGTAGGCTTGTCTCATGGGGGTGGGGAATCTCATCCAGCATAGCAGGAGCAGGTTTGAGCACTGGGCCAGGGCCATGCTGACAGCTGTGAGGAGAGGGAGGGTGCACAAGAGGCTGGTTGTGAGAAAATAGGTACCAGAGGATAAGAGTCTGTAGCCTACATGAGGGTGGGTGTATGGTCTGCACACCTGGGATCCCTGGTGACAGAGGGCCTAGAGGTGAAAAAGACTGACTCCAAGAAGGCACCTGAAAGGAAGACCAAGTAGCCTGTCTGGACTCAGCAACAAGAGGAAGTAGAAGGCCAACATAAGCAGGCTCAGGAGAGCTGTGCAGCCCATGAAAGGGCAACCACTGAGAAGGGGATGGGGGAACATTTTGAACCCAAACCCCGGGAACTTGGTTACATCCAGTGGGACATGTTTAGTGATTCTCAAGCTTCCACATGCAACTGAAACTGCCAGAGACTGGACCATTCAAGTGCAGATTACCAGACTCCCACCCTAGAGCTTCTTTTTCAGGAGGAGGGTGTTTCTCCCATGCTACCAGGGCATTTGGTTCAGTCCCTTGTTTTGAGATGCACCTCTGTAGATGGCTGGACATTGTGCCCTGAGAGCAAGTCAGGGAGATGCTCCGGAAGTGCATGTGCCATTGCAGTCAGGCTCCTTAACACTGTTGCCAAGGGAGGTTGGGAGGAAGCAACTAAGTGGCTTTGGAGAGCACATATATTATTAAGTAGTGATCTGCCCTGATGTTATTCTGAATCAAATGCTCCCTCTGGTGATTGATCATGTTTCTACCAGCACACATGCTTGAAATTCTTCACTTCTTTCCAAAAGCTCATCAGATGCAGCGGTGCTTTGCTGGATTTCCCTGACATTTGCAGAGTGCAAAACACAAGATTTTTTTTTTTTTAATAGCTAAAGTAAATCATTTTTCTAAAACAAATCTAGCAAATGTTGATCCAGATTTTTTTCCTTGTGTCTAGCTATGGAAACACCTGCTGTCTTAGTCTTAAAAGAGGAGGAGCTGAATCCATGTGAGGCTGGGAGCTGCATGGTCATGTGATCTCAGCTACCCACACAGCCCTTCTCATCCCTAGCCACCTGAGGCTAGGTCAACAGATACCTGCCACAAACTCAGAGATCCACACAACTCTGCACTGCAGACACAGCCCCCAGCTGTCCTCTTTAGATCTGATAACTCTCACTGGAATGAGATACAGAGCTCATAGGAAACACCATACCTGCTGTAACCATTTTAATATAATAGAAAAGGATGCAACTGAAGATACGCATAAGGCAAGGGCCAGGAGCTTACCCTCCCAAGAACAGATGTTCACTCTCCCCAAGGAAACTCTTCAGCCAGGAAATACTCCATGACAGCTCTCTGGAACAGAATGTATGCTGCTAGCTAGTACAAGTCTTAAACAGTTTTTCTGCCAGCCAGGACAACTCACTCTGCTCTGTCCTCCAAGCTCTTCATTGATGCAGCTCTCAGTTTTGTTTTGTCTCTGTACAATGCTGCTCTCCCTTGCACAGCGCTTAACCAGGTCTGGGAGGCTTTCCAGCACAAGGTTTCTGTGCCCAGAATGGTGGTATCCCTCTGAACTCTCATCCACTTGGAAGCCTCTTCAGAGCCTGTGTTTTAGGGCTTTTACAAGCCAGTCCTTTGGCTCCTTTGTCATTACTAAGGGCTCTTTGTTAGTTACATAGTGGGGGCTCCCTACCCAAATCTGACAACCATCGGGGCAGTCAACAAAGGTGTTGGTCCGACTGGCAAAAAAAGATAAACAAGAACAAAGACCACATAGGAGAATGCACATGTCATACCGCTGTTACTGTCTGGGGCCTTTATTGCAGGCATGAATATAAACGTGACATCTTCCATTCCTTCCCCATTAAAAAGCAGTGGTGGTTTGATCTTTGTTACTGAGTAGAATTAGTCAATGACAAATGGACAAATACTGTATTTGGCCACTATTGTAAAAAGTTAAGAAAAGAGTTCACACTTAAAGAAACATTCTTTTATGGTTACCAGGGATAAGACAGAAGGGTAAGTTATGGGCAGAAAAATACATATAAATAATTCTACTTCATGTTGTTGTTGTTATTGTTAAGTGCTACTGAATCAGTTCTGACTCATAGCGACCCTGTATAGGGTTTCCAAGGAGCGGCTGGTGAGTTTGAACCACCAGCCTTGCAGTTCAAACCAGCCTTGAGGTCCAGTGCTTATCCTATGATGCCATACCTTATAGGGTTGTAAAAATAACAAAACAACAGAAACAATGGCAGTGGGTTCGGTTCTGCATATCTGCATGTTAGGGGCTCTACTCTGTACCGTGTTGTATGCACCTGTTTGGTATCAGGGTACTGAAAGCTGCCCAGATGTAGCACATATGAAGAAGCGATTAGACTGGGGATAGGCTGCTAGCCTCTCCTCTCACTCCTCCCTCCTGACTTACAACAGGTTTTTATGGAAGGGCTGGCTCGTGGTTGTAAAGGATGGCTGGGAAGCCTGCCTTCCTCCCTCTCTCTTCCCTTCCTCCTCCAGGCACCTGAAAGAGATCTCAGAGCTACAGACCCAGCAGAAGCAGGAGATTGAGGCCCTGTACCGCCGCTTGGGCAAGCCCCTGCCCCACAACGTGGGCTTTTTCCACACAGCACCCCCTACTGGCCGTCGGAGGAAAGCCAGCAAGGGCAAACTGAAGGCGGGGAAGCTGCTCAGCCCCCTGGTACAGCAGCTCAAGGTCGTGGCATCCAGCACAGGTTGGCAGAGGCTCCTCCTGTCTGTCCTGAGGGACAGAGATGGGTAGAAATATTGCTGGGAATCGGGTTGAGGGACCCCGATGAGGCTGGGAGGTCAGGCTCAGGGAGGCTGTGACATCCTCCAGGCCCTGAAAAAGGGTTTGAGATTTCTTCTTCCTAAATCTCATTAACTTAGAGCTGAGAAAGACATTGCCAGGGTAAGCCAGGGCCTCTTGTCCTCCATGTGGAGAGGGAAGATTGGAAGAGGCGGGGCTTTTCAGAGTCTGGCGCTAGGCATTGAGAGGCCCCCAGGCTACCAATCCAATCTCATGCTTGGTTTTTGCTGAGCTGAGGGTCTCAGGGCCCCCTGCTGCTCACTACAGCCTGGCACAACACAGTACAGACCTGGCCCTCTGTTCTTGTTTCTAATCATCTGTGGAGCTGTGGTGGGAGGAGTAGGAGTGAGGACCCTTGGCTCTGTGAGCGATGCCATCCTATCAGTAGTAAGTGCTCTGGGCTTGCCTCTCAGCTGCAGGAACTGCACACCTTGCACTGTGCACTGCTGTTCCTTCTCTGCTGGCCACAGCTCCAGAGCTCTCTAGTGACACTTGAGCACAGGAGTCCAAACCCTCAGTGGTGTGCAGAGCCCTCCTCTCTGTGTTGCTGGGGACATACATAAGTGTTGTGACCTCAGTGTCCATCCTGAAATTAATGGGGTGGCACAAGAAGGACATGCATGGGTTTGTCCTTAGCTGTGCACTTGAAATCACAGGAATTTTTTTACCTCATATTTGTGACTGATGAAAACTGTGGTCACTTTTCTGACTTCCCAATGCTCCAATACAGAGGCCATGGCTGCATCCAGGGAACATGGAATCCCACAGGCCAGAGAACTTCCCCAAGGTCACCCAGCAAGCAGCAGGGAGACACTGCGCACCTGCCATCGGTGCCTCATCAGGCCTGTCACCCTCTCTCCCCGCCCAGGTCATTTATCAGACTGCAGCAGAGGTCCTCCTGCTGAGGACCCCGCCCCAGGGGGAGCAGGGTCTGCTGCAGAAAGCCCAGCGGCGCCCCCGGCTCCAGACCCGTGTGGCAAGGCAGTCCACACCCAGCAGCCCTGCTCTGTGAGAGCTTCCTTGTCTTCCGACATCTGCTCCGGCTTAGCCAGTGACGGAGGTGGAGCGCATGGCCAAGGTGATTCCCAGCTTTCCACTCTCAAGCATGTGCTAGCCCAGGGCTTTGGTGGTGTCCCCAGGAGCACGCCAGTGTGTAGAGGACAGAGCTGCAGCAAGTCTGCTGAGTGGCCGCTTTAAAAAAAACACACACTAGTTTTGAATGCAAAGAATGGAATTGCCCAGCCATCAGCCACTCTTGTTGCAAGTGGCTCTAAGGGAGACTGTGCTTGGCTAGCATGATCCTAGGGGAGCCACCAGGACCCGAGGTGCAGCCGAATGACCAGGAGAGGAGTCAGCCAGGGGAGTCAGATGGGGCACCTCTGTCCATTTTGCTGCGACGGTTCACCCACCCTGCCCATTCCCTGCTCGGAGCCAGCATGGTGCTAAACACCTGGGCCTTCTGCTCAGGAAGGTGGCTTGGAGAAGGGCCAGGCTCTTGGGCAGGACGTTATCCTTGAGATGGAAACGCTCTCTCTTCAGCACTGCCATGGATGTGAGCAGCTGCTTGATAAAGTGCTCACCCACTCTCTTCACCACCTCTATCAAAAGAAACCTTGGTGATTCTCATGAAGGTCCCACCCCTCACCTCTGGGAGCTTACTTCTCTTCTGCTCCTACCGTTGCCTCCTTTCCATTACATGGTCAGTGGCGTTGGTCCTCTGGGCTGGGCTAGGTGCGGCCATGGTGTTAAGTAACACAGCTGATGTGACTGGTGGTGTGGTAGGACATAGTCACAGTGACTTGTACTTGATAAGTGTCTCTTTGTTTTCTTCCCTTTATATTCATTTGCAGGCTGGACGGTTTCCCACCAAACGTCTGAGAGAGTGGCCTATAAATCTAGTAGCAAACCTCGTGCCCGATTCCTCAGTGGACCTGTGTCTTTGTCCATCTGTCTGTATTTGTTCTTTTGTATTTTATCACCTACTGTCCCTTGGTTTCTCCCCCTTTTCTATCTTCATTGGTACCTTTGATGCGTTTGGCAGGTGCCTTCCCCTCCTTCCTCCCATTGAGCTCACCCATCACTATCAAATGAAACAGCCCAAGCCTCTTCCTTTGGATGACAGCATCCTTTCTGTCCTCAGAAGGCTCGTGCACATGTTTCTACTTGTGCCTGGGCACCACAGCATGTGTAGACGCCCTTGCCTCTTGGTGGGGGCACCCCATCTCTCAGACATTCCGGGGCCCTCTGTATTTTGTCACTCATTTATTTAGTTTTTTTTTTTTTTTTTTTTTTTTAATGTCGGACGTAGTTTTTTCTGTTCCAATTGTGGCACATACTCATGTCCACCGTCCCCAGTTCCAGCGACAACAAAAAGACAACCCCAACCGTCTCTAGACGCATGGTGTTTTTCACACATGTTTGGACTATGAAGACATGCATGTAGCAAGCCGATACAATTCTAGAAGGTCACTGGAGGGTATAACTTCTGTACCAGGGCTGTATGACAACAACCTACAGTACTGTGTCTCCCCACTGCCCCACTCCCTGCATGTGGAAATGCTGAGAAGACGGTGCTCCAGCTAGGATGCCCCACGCCTGCTTGTCCTTCCATAGGAGATCTGACCACCCATTTGTGCTCTTGGTTGCCTTCTGCTTTCTTATTCTTTGGAGAACTCAACCCTAAAAGATGTGATTGACAACCTAGACACACGGCTCTTCTTCCCGATGTGTGCCAGCCCTCTTCCCCTCCCTAACGTCTTCCAGCTGGAGCACTTCACTCAGTGTATTTTCCTGTGACCTCATGTGACCTCAGAGATGAAGTCAATTAAGCAGTTCCTCAGACCTCTTATAAACACACCTCCCACCTTCTCCAGATACTGTGGAGCGCCCTAGTGCCCTGTGCTCCGTAGGACTGTCCCTGCTTGCAGCCACTCCCAACTGCAGCTCTCCCATAGCCCTCAGAACGATTGGCAAAAGAATCCAAAATTGTAGCATTTTCAGGTTTTTACTTTTTAACGGAAAAATTAAGCTTTTTAACCATCAAATGGACATGCTGGTTTGGGGCGCATGGCTTTTTGCTTGTACAATAAAGATACATTGTCCTTGTGGGGACCTAGAGGCCACGTCTACTGCAGACACCCCTACGTTAAGTGTGCATTCACACCCACCTGGCCACCCCATTCGAATCCACATGACTCATCATCCTCCAGGCTGGACAGATCAGAGGCACAAGGGCCACTTAGAAATGCTTTAAGAAGCCCCAGCATCTCCATGTTTAGACAAGTGGCTTGTGACCCACTGAATAGGGTGTCCAGGTTGGCAGCTTTGGGTTGGCAGCTTAGCTGAGTGATGGGACGGGATGGAGAGCCTCTCGGGAGCCAATTCTTTGGAAGCCCTTCTGCACCAACCTGGCACTTTTCTTCCCCTCTCAGTGGCTGTGGGTTGTAGCTCTCCTTGGTATGGTCACAGGTCTCAGGGGCTTTAGGACCTTTTGGCATCTCCAGAGTGGATGGGGCCTGCTGGGTGCCTCCTAGGCCTCTGAAGAAGCAAAGCAGGGCAGATGGTGGTGTCCCCAGGAACTCTGGCTAAAAGCCCTAGTAGAGAGGGAGTGATGTATGGCTGAGATTGTCCTCACCCTACTTTCCACCCACATTGCTTTAAAGGGTTTCCATTTGTTTACCATTCATTATCATTCCAAGATTTTTTTTTTTTAATTGAGGCATGCACGGACAAATGACTCACTGCTATCCCTGTGGACAGGAAAACTGGAAGGCAAAGTTTAGGAGCTCCCGGGCAGGTGTGGTTCCGACCCTGCAGCCTTATTGGATTGGCAAGCAGTATTTAGACCTTGTTTGAATGATCAGATGGTATTGCTGGTTTTCACACCAGCCTCTTCTAGACAAGTCCATGTTCTCTGACTGATGGTGGTCCTGTCCTGGACACCTCTTACATGAGCCTTTGTGGACTCAGTTTGTGGAATTGGCCCATTGTCTTAGGATCTCCTGAACTCACTCTTGTTGCTGCATTGGCAAGTGGCTGGGACCCCTCATGTCCCAAGCCATGGCAGCACCATGGCTACTGGCCTCAGGCCTTTGGAGTTGGGAACTTTCCATGAAGCGCTCTACACAGTCCCTGTGCTAACACTGGCAAGGGCAGGCTCTCAAGAAAAGGAGACTATGGGCCTAGGGAAAGCCTGTGCTCAAGCCAAGCCCTAGCAGCAGCTTCAGGGCTTGAGAGCCAGGGAGATGTGGTCACGGAGGTAGAGGGTCTCTGGGACTCAGGGTGAATTGAAAGTAAAGAGGTGGAAGGTAGAGGGGGCATTCAGGGCAAGACGGATGGAGCAGAGATCTGGTACTATAGGGAAGAGAATTCCATGAGCCAAAGGTCTTGGTTGTAGGCAGGGAAGCGGGCACTCTGCATCTTGCGTTTTCAGTTAACTGATTTTATATATGGCACCCAGCATCCTGGAAGAAAAGAGACAACATAAGACAAACTGTTTTCGACTCTGAAGCACAGAGATGAAACAATGTGGACAGGATTAAGGCTAGACCTGAGCGAGCTGAGAGTGCCTGAGGTGGACTGTGTCTTAGCTAGGAAGCACTTCAGGGAAGGGCTTGTCTAAGGTGGAAGCACTGTGGAGAGCAGGCTGGAGTCCCGTCACAGTGGAATCAGCAGGCAGGACAGGCCTCAGTCAGCCACCATAGACATGCAGCCTGTTCCTGTCTGTCCTAAGCATTGGGTCGCATTGCTGGATGGTCATGACCACTGCTCATACCAGACCCCTCCACTGTGGGTAGAAGAGGTGGAGAGGGCATGGGGCTACTGTAGATTCCAGAAGTCCTAGGGAGAAATGATCTAAAGGAAACCAGATGAAGTCCTGGGTGTTACTGCTGGTCAGAAGCTTTTGTCAGGCTCCTTACTTTGTTCTTCATGTAACCAGAGGCCAACATGGATGACCGTCCAGTCTTTGTACTCATGTGGGAGGCGTTCAGTATTGCTTTGCATTCAGTTCACTTGTGTAGCCACAGCATTCATAACCACCACCCATCTGTCGGTGGAGGCTTAGTTTTTGTTAGGATGCTGGACAGGTCTCAGCAGAGCTTCCAGCCTAAGATGGACTAGGAAGAAAAGCCTGGTGATCTACTACAGAAAATCAGCTGGTGAAAACTGTGTGAATCACAACCAATGGTCCGATCTGCAGTTGGTTTGGGGGTTGGCACAGGACTGAGCAAGGCTGTTTTGTTGTATTGCACTTGGGTCGCTAGGAGTTGGGAGCTGACTAGACAATAGCTAACTACAACAGAGACGAAGCAGGCCTCATTGCCCTGTCCCTGCAGGGCATTTCATGCTCTGGGGCCTGTTGGATGCTCCCATGTCCCTCTCCTTTCCTGTTCTCAGCTCCTGCTCTGAGCAGCACCCAGTCTTCTTGTGATGAGAGTACAAAGCACACAGGTGATGACCTTTTGTGCAGTGTGACAAGGACCTCCTGTGCAAAGGAGAACTCCTGGGGGCAGGGGCTCACAGCTATATAGCCCCCTCATGTCACATTCATCCCTTCCTGTGGCCCCCAACAAGTGGGGCCACTTGAGGTGAATGCACCTTTATTCCCATACCTGGAGCTGATCAATTTCCCCAAATCATGCCTGGGTGAGCTGAATTAAGCCCCACCTTCACTTCAGTCTTCATGGACAACTTTCAATAACCCTCCACCCCCACCCCTCCCGTGGGCCAATTAATTGGGCTGCTCAATCTGTAAAGGCACTGAGTGGGGCATCACATACCCATTCTTCTCCTGTGCCAGAAACAGGCATCCATTGCCAACCCCAGTGTGAAACTGGAGCCATTGGAGCTTAGTTCTTGTCATGAGATGGATGAGGGAGACAGTTGGCTTGAACTTAGGGCCAGTTCTTTGAGGAGAGCAGTGGCCTGAGTTGCCGCTGCTGGGAAGAGGTTGACCCTGCTGTTTCTCAAAAGGCTGTTCCCTGTTGCTCACAGTGTGAATTTCATCTATTATCTGAACATTGGCCTAGAAAGGAAACATGGTGAATTGCTCAGGACCTGACCCGCTTCCTAACCCATCAGCCCTAGTCAGATGTACCTGGTCTGGAGGACTTTCTTGTGACATTCTCTGAAGCCCCAGCCAAGGGTTGGGACATGATATTCAGGCAAGGAAAGGCAGGGCTGCCTGCTAGCACCAAAAGGAAGACTCTGTGTTGGTATCCATCCTGATAGCCCATCTTCAGGTCTGAGAGGAGGACAGAGTGGAGCAGGGCCCACCTCACTCAGGTGTGAGACCCAGACGGGATGCGAGACTTCCTCAAGCCTACTTGGTGGGTAGGTCTCTTCCAGACACCTTCTGGACAAGACATGGAAGAATCTATGCCTGGGAATGGTACCAGCTGCCACTTCTAGGAGAGGTAGAAGTTAGCATATCTCCAAAGAGAAGACTGCCATCTCCTGACCCACTGCCTTGGGGATCACTTTGGCTAAAGTGGCTCTGGGTTGTGAGGGGACTAGGCTAGGGTAGCAAGAAGCGCTGCAGAAAGGATCTTTGTTTTCCCACTGAAACCAGTAGGCCACAATATTGGTGGAAATTGTGCTTCCTGCTAGTGTGGCTTCTTTTTTAATTTCTGCCTTGTGGGTGTGGCAGCATGCTCTTGGAGCCTGTGACAGTGATGATACTGGCAGAAAGACGGTGACCCAGGTGGCATGGGGCCTTTCAACTACAGCTTTTCCCAGGGAGCTCTGCCTTTCGACCAGAGCTCAGCGCAGGCTAGCTGGATGCAATCTAAGGGGCCTCCTGGTGTTGGGCAGGGCTCTGGCACGTGGCGCTTGACTGAGGATTGGCCTTAACTTCAGCGTCAAGATGTCAGCATCCCTCCCGGTTTGTGTGAATAGAGCCATGTGCTGGTCAGGGTCACTGTGACCCATGCCCTTGGTCATTCCAGGGCCTGTGCACAGGGAAGGGCATGGCCTCCTCTGTTCATGACAAGCATGGTATCTGATTAGGCCCCTCAGTCTGCCCCAGCATGCGGAGTGTCGCAACTTTTCACGTGTTCTGGGCCTCCCTCTGGTAGCTGCAGTTGGGCAGCTGGCCTGTGATGGAGCCTGGTCTGCCTTTCTGCCCAGTGTTAACAATGCGATGGCTGTCAGAACTAGATAGATGCACAGTTTCCACACACACAGCAAGCACACTCAGTCTTTCGAGTTGTCAGTACAGGATTGCTGTATCCTAGAAGAGGCACAGGAAGTCACATGGCAGGTGGGCACTCAGCCCCATGCCTCAACACATCCAGTGTGAGTGGACGTGCAATCTCAGCCTATAGGACACAAACTGCAACCTCCCATCCACACTGCAGCCAGCCTCAGAGGACTGTCCTTCATTCCTAGTAGGATCTCATGACAGACTAGAGAAGGCATAGACCCCTCTTCTCACTATCACGAATGTGTCTGGGGGTCTCCTGCCTAGTCTTATACTTTTATTGGCACATGAGAGACTCCTCACTCTTCCCCCAAGTGACTCTTGGAGAACATAAAGAATGAACTTCTTTTAAAAACTAACTTCATGTAAACTAGACATCAAAAGTTCAGTTAGTACAGTTCTCCCTTATGTTTAGGAGTCTCCCAAGGAACATGGTCTGATAGTTCCCCCATTGTCATCAAATGTCAGGGAAGGAGAGCCTTTCTAGATAATAAAGATGGAAGTCACGAGTGAGTCTAAGTTACTAGAACTTCAGAAATCTCCAGCCTTGCCAGTCCAGACTGAGGAAGGCATGATGGGAAAAGCTCCAGTGCAGTGGGATTCTGTCCTTGGATGGCTCCTCTCCCCAAGGAGAGTGGGGTGCGGTGGATATTGACCCTGTGGGATTCAACCCTCAGAAGGCCATCCTATATTGAGGGAATATGTGGTGGGCATTCATGGCATGGGAGTCTGAAGAAGCTCCCCTCCATTTGAGGGCTTGTGGAGTGGGGTGGGCATCTGACAGTGTGGCTGGAGTGGCCATTTGCAGTGCAATTGTGACCTCGGGAGCTCTCTATATCTTAGGGAGTTCTCCTCAAGAAGTTCCTCTGTCTGAGGAAGTGTGGGGTGGGGTGGGTGTTCCCAGTGTGGGATTCTGTCTTTGGGAAGCCCCCATCTGAGGGAATATGGAGTGAGCTTTTGTCAGGAGCCCAGACCAGATTCTCAGTGCTAGCAGGCCTTGCTGGGTGACCTTGGAGAAAGTCCAAGCCTGTCTTTGCCAAAAATTGAATCCCATATATTGCCTGTGTGCTTTAAAAGTCCATTTACTACAGCTGACAACTTCTGGGAAATAGATACCCATCAGCTGTCTTAGTATGGTCCAAATAATAAGAGATGGAATGTTCCCAATAATGGTTCCACCCAAGAAGGGCCTGAGGATCACTTAGCAGGGGTTCACACCTGAGAGAAGGTACACTCACATTTCCCAACTCCGTGACAGCGCTGACTTGATTTAAGTCAGTCCTCCAAGATTCTGGACTGGCCTCTGCCCTGCAAAACAATGTATCATTTTGGACTTGGCCAACTGCGGCATGAGGCTCCGCAGCCAGGCAGTGCCTGCGCCTGGTCCACCCAAGGCCCCTCTCAGGAACTGTCAGTGGTTTTTCCGCCTCAGCCAGTGGGGCTTCTAAGAGCCTTCTGTCTGAAAGCCAAGCATTGTTCTCTGCCCATTTTTTTTTTTTTTTTTTTTAAATATGCTTCTAGAAACAAACACTTCAACCTGAGGCTTGGAAAGCTTGAACTTGGCATCTGTACCTCTTCAATAAAGCCGTGTTAACTGCACACTAACTTGGGGTTGCCCGGTCCATTTAGGTTGGGGGTGGAGGAGGGTTTCCTCTTCTCTCTGAACTGCTGACTTTGTCTGTTCTTCCTTGCATAAGGATGACTTTTATTTAAAATAGCTTTACCCACAAGTGTGGACTGTCCAGCTAACCGTGTTGTCTTGTATCATTTTTTCTTCCCTTGCAGGGTCAGCCCTGAAACGTCTCTGCCTAGGCAAAGAGCACAGCAGTAGTAACTATCTGGATTTCTTATCTCCTTTGCATTTTATCCATTGCATGGGCTTTCTGTGACTAGAGCACACTAGGACTCGTGCCAGTCTGCGAGTGTGACAGCAGGGCCAGCCAACATAGTGACTGCCCCAAGCCTCCCTCTGCTTCACTCTGCCCTGCTGCTCCCTAAACCCCTTTGCACCCCCATGCCTCATAGAGTCTTCAGTCTCCTCCCTACACACCCACCAGCCTCATCCTGTACCGGAACACCCACAGATTGCTAATCATTCATTGACTCCTTTGCCAAAACCATAGGAATGAGTATTTCCTTGAAGTGCTAAAGCTGAGTGCCTCAAGAGGAGAGCTGTCCAGAGTCAAATGGGCTTCTCACTTCTCTCTGGTGTCACTCCCCACCCCTCCACCCCCATCTTTTCTGGCTGAAATTTCCATGTAGAAATAATCCCGTGTATGTAAGATCTCATCACTGATTTTTAGTTGTCTGTGTTTGTGCTTTTTCATTGCTGCCATTAGACTAAAGTAAACTACATTTCCAAACAGTTTGTTTGAAGAGATGGTCATTAGATTATTATTTTTTTTAATGTACAAAGTTCAAATTTTCATTTTATCAAAATTGCTAACCTGAAATTATCAGGGGAAGAGGGGGCAATGCACAATAGAAGTCCTATTTTGGTTATTTAAAAAATGCTTCAATGAGCAAGCCATGCTGACAGGCCTGCTGTCCAGCATGCAGAGTGACCGCCTCACCATCAGGGCATTCCAGAAACCCCGTCCTTCATGATCACCTGGAGCTCAAGCAGTTGGGCCCCAATCATTATTGTTCCGTTCTCCAGTCAGGAAAGGGGCAAGTTCTGTTTCTTAAATTCCAAACAACCAAATCATTAAAAGTAATGTAATGCCCTGAAGAATCTGTAAACCTTAAACCACGAATACTCCCTGAAGTCTTAAAATGCAACCATAATCAAGATGAATTATTTTTAAAGGCCTGCTTTAAGCATTGTGCTCTCTTAATATCTAGCTATATGAAATCAAAGTGACAACAACAATTGGAAAGATTAGATAAGAACCTTCGAGGCAGTGAGTTCGTGTTAATAGGGAGAACAGCTCAGAAAAAGAGGGTAAGAATGGTTGCACAATGAAGAATCTAATCATGATCGCTGAATTGTACATGTAAAAACTATTGGCTTGGTGAATATTTTGCTCTGTATATTCTTAACAACAACCCAAAAAAGTTAAAAAAAAAAAATAATTTTTTTTAAATCATGGAATGCAGATAGTCCAGCCTATGGAAGGCATTTCCTATATGCCAGGGATTGGTTTGTGCAGAGTATTCTTACACCTCCTCTGCAAGAGAGCTTGAGTCATGGTTTCCACCTGCTACAGCTCCCAATCAGACATGCATCCAGTTGTTTACAAGGGATCCAGTGGTGGGCACAGATTGGAGTGATTGGAGGCCTCAGCTACAGCAGGGTCAAGTCACACTGCCCATCTTTCTCCAGACAGGGTCTTTGCGCAGTGCCTACGGTTGGTGGAAATCCTCCACCATGACTAAAACTGGGTATAAGCAATCAATTCAGACCACCTCTTGAAGCAAGGTGTTGCCTGACCTATGTGAGACCATTGTGTCCTCCATAACATAAGAATGATGGGAGCCTGCCAGATAGCTCACGCATATGTGTGGTTAACCAACCCTGGCCTGTGTGTGACTCCTTAGGATCCTCCACAAGCAGCCTGGTCCCGGGCCCTGAGCCAGGCCCTCAGCCCACAGTGCAAGTCCAGGCACAGGTGAACAACAGCAACAACAAGAAAGGCACCTTCACAGATGACCTGCACAAGCTGGTGGATGAGTGGGCCAGCAAGACAGTGGGCACTGCACAGCTGAAGCCGTCACTTAACCAACTGAAGCAGACTCAGAAACTGCAGGACATGGAGGCCAAGGTGGGCCCAGCCCCAGCAGCCAACGAGGTGCGGACTGTAAGTGGGGTCAAGGGAGGGAGTGTCACAGAACTGTATTAATAACAAGCAGCAGCAGCCAATATTCATAGCTTACCAGGTGCAGGCATTGTGCTAAGCTCTTACCTTCCGTTTTCCAAATTCTTCACAATAGCTCCAAGATTTTTCCACTTTACAGTTTTCCCACTTTACAGACTGGGAATATTAAGCTACTTGCCCACATTCTTACAACTGGCCAGGAGCCAGATTGGAGAGGAAGGAGTGAATCCTGAGGTTCGGCCCAACTACACCTCTGGCAGCAGCTTTGTGGAATGGTGGTTGCCTAAGGCAGCCCAGAGCTGGGGTGCAGTGCAGCCTCTTCTTGTCTGACCACCCTTCAAATTCCATGCCTTTTGTCTGACTGGAAGTTTCCATCCCTTCCCAGTAATGACTCAGGATTGTATGGGCTTCAGCTCTAGTGTAAGACAACATAGGACAAGTGCTGAGTTAATTTTTGATTGGTTTTTATATTCATATTCATGAGGAAGAGTGCTCTATACTTTTCTTTCTCTTAACATCCTTAGATTCTGTGACGCAATGGATGTTTACATCAGGGCCATGCCAACTTCAAAACCTAGGTGAAGGACTTGTCCCTCTTTTTCAATTTCAGAGAAGGTTGTGCAAGATTCGTGTTTTTTCCTCCTTCAATACTTAGTGAAATCCATTGGTTACATCATCTGGACTTGGGATGTGTTTTTGTTTTGTTTTAAGTGTGGGAAGATGCCCCTACAACTTTTTATTTTGAAAAATTCAAAGTACAGAAAAGCTGAACATTCTACAGTGACTATCCACTATCATCTGTAATTGAGGTGTTGTGTTTGTTTTATCTGGTATCCTTATCCCTTGAGGTTGAGGTCTTCATTATGGATCCATTTTCTTTTATAGTTTTCGTACTATTGGATTTTGTTTCTCCTTATGACAGTTTCTTTACAAACTGCTTTTCTAGCAACTTCCATTCTCTCTAAACTGACGTATATTTTAAAATTAATTGTCATAAAGTTGTTCATCATATCTTCTCTCTTTATAGTTTGCAGGATTTGCAGTGGTGTCCTCTCTTTTCTGATATTGGTGCTTTATGTCTTCTTTCTCTCTCTCTACTAATTTTCAGCAGTTTTCTTAGCTATTGTTATTGTTGTTAAGTGCTGTTGAATTGGTTTCAGCTCACAGCAATCCTATGTAGGGTTTCAGAGGAGTGGCTGGTAGTTAGTAGTCCAGTCAGTGTTTGTCCTACAGCACCAAACCAGGAGTGATTTCTAAATTTAATTAGTCTTCTCAAAGAACTCATTTTGACTTCAGTGATATTCTTTATTGTATATCTACGGGCATCTGGAGAGCAAATTTCACTGTCTCTTCTGACATCCATTTTGACCTTTTCCTTCTTTCTTGTCTTCTAAATGACTTTTTGCTTTCTTCATGTATGATGTTCTTAATGTCATCCCACAACTCTTCTGTTCTTTGGTCTTTAGTGTTTAATGTATCAAATCTGTTCTACAGATGAACTCTAAATTCAGGTGGGATATATTTAAGGTCATATTTTGGCTCTCGTGGACTTGTTTTCTTCTGCTTCAGTTTGAATTTGCATATGCGTAATTGATGGTCTGTTCCACAGTCTGTCCTGGCCTTGTTTTCACTGATGATATGGAGCTTTTCCATCTTCTCTTTCCACAGATGTAGTCAATTTGATTTCTGTTTTCCATCTGGTGAGGTCCATGTGTACAGTAGACTCTTATGCTGTCTAAAGAAGGTATTTGAAATGAACAAATCATTGATTTTGCAGAATTCTATCATGCATTCTCCAGCATGATTTCTGTCACCAAGGCCATATTTTCCAATACTGATCCTTCCTCTTTGCTCCCAACCTTTGCATTCCAATCACCAATAATGATCAATATATCTTGATTGCATGTTTGATCAATTTCAGATTGAAGAAGCTGGTAGAATTTTGGTGCATAAATTTGAATAATAGTGGTATTAACTGGGCTTCCCTGTTGGTGTATGGATATTATCCTATCACAGACAGCATTGTACTTTATGACTGATCTGGATATGTTCTTTTTGACAATGAATGCAACACCATGCCTCTTCAATTTGTCATTTCCAGCCTAGTAAACCATGTAGTCATCAGATTCAAAATGGCCAGTACCAGTCCATTTCAGCTCACTCATGCCTAAGATATTGATGTTTATGCATTCCATTTCATTTTTGACAACTGGAACTTGCTCTCCAGAATAGAGATGCTAAAGCAAATGGAAGAATTGAGGAGGAGGTACAAGAGCGGAACAGAAAATTTCAAAGGTCAGCTCGAGAAGATAAAGCCAAATATTACAA